GTTAAAAGAACCAAAATAAAGTGATGGGGGAGAGGGATTACCGTGTTGGGTCGAGGATATTGCTATAGGCGGTTGGGCCTGAGTGAGCTAAAGGCCCAAAGGCTGCTGAGGGGGCCCGTTCGCATGGCAATGGCCCAAATGATCCAAAGTTGTGGCAGGTTGAGTTAAAGGAGGAGAAACGGCCACATCACACTCCCCCCTATCCAACCCTAGCAGCTGGCGGTGGTTGGGAGAGGGGAGATTACTCTAGATCCGAGCAGGGGAGTTGCGACAACTGCATTCCGAACTTACCGCGGGCCAGCTGGAGAACGCCAGTTAAAGGTCCCGATGAGAGAGCGAGATTGCAGGTCATCTGATGTATCGCCCGCTTATTTTTTAAAAGAAATACTGGTTTTCCGAAAATTTTCAAACTTAAAAAAAAAAGATACATTTTCCAATTTAAACTAAACATACATTACTCAAAAACTATTCTTTCTATCAAGACTTAAATAAACATTTCAAAATAAACATGTTACAATAATTAAACCGTAGTTCATACATCCAAATTGAATTTAAGTTTCAACAGAGTTCGCCGAAATATAAAAACATAATTAAAGACGACTGCGCCGTCCTCTTGTGTCTGCCGCCAGCTCGATCAACCTGAAAAACAAAGGGGTGAGCACCGTCTCTCGGTTTAGTGGAAAAATTCACGCTATGCCTAATATAATAATCATATGAACATGCTAAGTGAATCCATCTCACTTATGTACTCATAATAACCCGGCTTCAAGCCCCCTAGGTAGACCGGCTAATTGATTCTTATTTCAAATCCCCAGAATCTATCTGGCTAATTAGCTACTATACGCCCCCAGCTGCAAGCCCCTAGGTAGTCCCGACTAATCGACTCTTATTTTAAGCCCCCAGAATATACCCGACTAATTAGCTATTATACGCCGTTAACCTAAGTTAATGAATGTCGGTATGGTTACTTACTAATGCATTCGACATCAACCGATCTTGCTAATAAATAACTCTATTAGTGTTATTGGCTTTACTCAGTCCCGCTTGTCGAAAACTTAGCTGATACTTACTCGGCCAATTTGGCGGATTT